TGGGGTCGAATGGAGAAGGGTAGACTGGCTTTTGCAAGTCATCCCTTAGTCTCAGTCCTTTGAAAGGAGTCTTTACGTTGACAACCTTCCACCATCTCACTATTACATCAATAAAACTGGCGGTTTCTTCGTAGTGCTTTGCTCCAATGACTCGAAGTGCATTCGGTCCGTACTCGCTGAATACCTGCAAAGCAGGTTTAACACCCTGTTTCTCGATGTCTGTTGGGGAAACAGCTTTTCTGGACAAAGTGTAGCCGTACCGGAGTAACTGCTCACTTTCTAAATTATATGCGTCTTTAACTGTCTTGAAATACGCATACTGCATGCACCGCTGCCCCGTTGTGCTTGGTTCGAACTGAGGTAACCATAAACACTGGTCATTTTGTTTTAACCAGTTGTTGCGCACGCACTTCAGTAAATGCACTGGGTCGATGACGAAGAACAATGGCCTGTGGGGATCAGATGGGTGCGGAAACACGAAGTCATTTGCCAGTGATTTTTTTGAAACGGCTTGAGGGGCCTTGCTCACCGAATACTTAAACGGCCCATTGCGCTTCGATTCACGGCGTTGTTGTCGGTCACGACACACATTACTTTGTATCCAATTTTTTATAAGCCGCGAATGACATCTCCTAAAATGTTGTGCAGAAATTCTCCATTAGCATTTTGAACGGGAACAATGTGCGCTACCTTCTTAAACTTACACATGAGGCTGTGTACCATAAATACAAATGCACTATTTGCTGCTTCTGCGTTGTTCAACGCGATACCAGCGATATTGCCTCCCTTATAGTAAAAAAATGGCTTTAGATGAATTTCGTCCACCATCAAAGTAACGTAGCGTTGCTGCTCATTCTACTCGGATATCTTCTTGGACATGTAGCGGAGGAATGTATTGTCTTGATGCTCTAGTTGGGGGCTCATCCCGAAAGACGAACATATTGACCTGATGGTTCTTGGGTGTGGCATGATGATGCTCCCGTGACTGCGCATGTACTTGTATGCGTGAGGTGATATAATAAATAGTATGCAGCAGTACACCATAAATTCTACAGAGTAGCGCCGTCGTTGTTTTTTTGTTGACATTAACTTCACTTGCTCAGCGAGCATTTGAATGATCGGGGTGTTATCGCTTTCTTGTGCTGTGTATAGTTCGTTCAGAAGAGAAGCGACAGTCTCGAAGATGTCTGCGGTTGAGTTTTCAGAGCTTGACCTCTAGGCACTGTCGAACCCCTCGACTCCTTCCAGCAATTCCAGCAGCCGTCGTTTGCTGTCGATCACGGACGGAACTACCATTTTGGACCCGAGCCGCTTCACTGATGCTTTTGCGACGTTTACCGTAAGAGTTAGGTTGTTTTTTACGACAACAGAGTACTTAATCCAAGGAGCGTCATCATTACAAATGTGAGCCAAAATGACGTGGTCACTGCATTCGATGACATGCCAAAATGTCAGCTTCTTGCCTCGAACGAAGTTTGCGACATCTTTCAAATCGCAAAGCTTATCTGCTTCTTCCTCTTTTTTGGCAGTGAGAATTGACTCGGAGAGCACTTTCTCAAGGGAAGCGGCCTCTAAGCGCATTCGCTTGCTTTCTGGGTCCTCTCTTCTAGAGCTTTCTATGGACAGGTAGCTTGGGCAATCAGGGAATACCGTCGGTGCTGCCTCTGCTCGAAGCCGCAAACTTGAGAGCGGTGCGGTCACTGTGCGGCCGGTGGCTTGGTCAATATAGCTTGTTTCCCAAATGATGTCTTCGGCTTTAAAGTGACGTTCGCACACCTAAACAAAAGAAGCATATCCTAGCATCAGTACGGCTACCTAGTAGCAGCGACAGTACATTCAGGGCTTTGCGTGACGCGTTTAGGCGTAACGTAAAACAAACTACAAGGCTCGCCACGCAACGGTAGGAGCAACCTCCATGAGAAAATTATAAAGCATTCAAAATTTCTTACCCTGGCATTCGCTGACACGACCAGGTTTTCACGTGGAATGGCACGTATCCACGCTTGTTTTGCTTCGTCGGCTTGAGGGAACGAAAAAACGTGCACCTTGGGGCCTGTCTTGCAATTGCCGTTGCACCGTGGCACACAACACTTTCCTGGCATTTCGGCGCTGATTCTAACTCTGCACGAGCCTGCTCACCACACATAACACGCGATAAACACTTAGGTCACTCGCCGTTACCCAACTACGCAAAGAAACAAATATCCAAGCCGCAACGTGCATCCGCGCCACGAACGCTCACAGCGCATCCAAACGTGCCCGCCGCGCCGAGGCCCCGCCGCTCAGGGGACCAACGCCATCTAGCGGAGACGTCGGACTGCGCCCCTTACTGATGACGTATATTCACAGCCCCACGGGAGCCCCCCGGCCTTGAGTCAGTCTCGGTGGCGTTGCGTCAACGCGCAGCAGTGGTGTGACCTACTTGGCACCGTGCCAACACCCGTGGTACGCTGTACGGTGGGACAGAGTTACACAGGCTGACCAAAGAGCTGCTTCGTATCCAAAATACATTTTTGAGAAAACTGCGGTAACATAAGGGGGGGGGGGGGCGCTAAGTTAACCCCATACATTGATATAATAGGATGATGGGCGATGCGACTTAGGGGGGGGGGGGAGGCACAAAGTCAGCCCATACATTGACACAATACGGCTTTGTGAGGGGGGGGGGCTGAGATGAACTCCCCACTCCTCCCGAAGGGAAATCCTGCGCATGGCTATGAGCAGGGGGACGGCTAAACTGCACGGAGTCGGCGTGCGGCGCATCATTCACCGGCTAGCAACATCGGGCCACCACGCCTATCTTGAATCCAGGCACCATCGGCGGTACACCCTCGCTCCCAGAGACGCCATAATTTATTTTCAACTGCCAAGGCGTGCCTCTCTACCATGGCAAGCAGTGGGTCTGGGATTTTAAAATGAAAAAAAAAAAGCGCCTGTTCACGCTGCGCTAGCTTATAAGAAGTCATCTGGGTACCGCTGCGCCGTCTTCGGATGCAAAAACATTCTGAGCAAGAGTAAGATATTAACTAAGAACTGTCTGTGAAAATCCCAACACTATGCAACAATCATGCCGGTGTGGTTTATCCCGATTGCACAAATTCCGACACGAAAGACGCCAAGATCCGCTGCCAGTGGATAGAATCGCAATCGGCAAAAAAAACTGCGAGTCCAGTAAATGTGTGCGAGTAAATAGAATTATTGCGTAAACTCAAGCGCGACGCCAGCTGTTCCGCTTTAAAGCAGCGTTTTGCGTGCAGTACGCCTGTATAGTATACGGCACCAAAGCGTTGCCGTACTTTTTTCGCAGGCTGCATGCCAGTAATAGGATATATTACGAATCACGCGTGGATGCAAGCCCCGCTCACGTATACAATTGTAACCGCGTACTATAGCGATGCAAAGACACGTGAATGGCGCGAAAGGCATAGCTTTCGACCCAGTCGAACTGCGGCATCTATTGACTCACTAGGCGAATCTGTGCTTTCGGTCGGCGTCACCGTAGCATTTTAAAATCTTGTTCTGGTTAACACATTCGCAACGCATCTGTGTTCCGAGTGCTCGGCATGAGTGGCAAACGATAAACACATGCAGTGAATGAGCACAAGTTGGAGCGAGATTCTAGCGCCATGTTGACGCCGACTTACAACACGAATTCTCCCTTGCCACAGCCAAGGCATGGTACAATGCGACTGAGTCGAAAGCAACGTTATCGCTGTTCGCGTTTCTTTCAATCGCAATAGTACGTAACTGATGAAGTTGCTTTCGCAGTCTGCAATGCACGCGCTGTATAGACATTCCGGACTGTCGAGGAAGGTTTCCTCGACGTTTCACACAAAGTCAGCACGAAATTCCAGGAGTAGAAGAGCGCGAAACATCCTTACAGCTGGGCTCGGGTTGTACAGTCTCGCATTTGATTGGCGGAGCGTCTGCTCACGTGGCAGTGCATAGGCGTCGCTTCGCCGCGCTTGCAACAGATGGGCGACGCGCTTTTCGATATGGCAGCACCCACTGGGCTCTGTGTTCTGGTGTATACATTGACGTCTTTGGCTAGCCAAAACTCTTGAGAAGGTGTGGGCTCGAGCTAGTTTGTACTCTGTGATAACTTGCTTATTGCGCATTTTTTTAGACAACAGATCAAGCACGGCGGGTGCAGTCCCCAAACTTGCGCCCGTCCGTGTTTCGTATATTGTATAAAAATTTGCACAAAAACAGCAAGTTGTCAAAAAACTCTTGAGCTCGGCATTACACATTTTAAAGCATCTGAGCCAGCATTCGCGACCGAGCTAGTGCAGACGAGGTCGGCAAAACAGATCGGTCTTTACGCTACCCGAGCTCTTCATGCGATCTCTCGACCACACATTGCCCGACGACAGGCCATCAGCCTGTTTTTCTTCAGGTTGTCCCCTCCAGGCAAATGAGAAACGTGTCCTCTTGATAGTGTGCTTATGTTTGCGACTTACTTTTTTGCAGATAAAACACGGGCAGGAAGTTGACGTTTTTTAGAAGCGCTCGCCAAATGATATCGAAGAGTGCGCGGATGTCGGCTCGCTAACCTGCGTACTTTCGTGCGTGTTGATATGCGAATTTCGTAACTGAGTTCTCCATTAATTGATGATTCTTATTGTGATGTGGATTTGTTGTCTGGGGAGATGTTTCAACGCTGCGAATGTGTGTTCACTGTTCAGTTCCAGCGTTCCCTAGTGATTTTTGAATCTCGCGGTACTCTGTCAGCGTTTGTTAAAAGGTAAAACAAGGTGCAAAGGCAGCCAAAATATTTTGAACATTTACAAGTTCTTGACATTTGAGTAATATACCTTAGTACATTGCATAATAAAGTTATTAGGTTAATATTTGTTCACGTACCAACGCTTTACAGCGCCGCTGCATGCTTTGTCACCTTTTCTTGTCGTGTACTGACTGCGCTGCGCACATACTGCGCATTTGTGGTAGCGCGTGTGGTTCACTGATCTCCACTAGCCTGGTGGAGATCAGTGGTGTGGTTGCGTGCGGCGCGTTTTCTGAGAACGGCACCTCCACCGTGGTAATATGCGGACTTTCAAGCTTCAGAGCCTCGGAGAAGCTCCACAGAGGTAAAACATTTGTGGCATGCGTGAACGTGCAGTTGCTGAATCGAATTATGACTTGGCAACTCTCGGAACTTCTGGGTTTCGTATGGGGCTATTGTTCTCCACTTTGGCGCCATTATCAAAACGGCCGTTAGGGTTCCGATGTGTTTTCGTGTAACGGATGTGCTTTTTAGTGCGCCCAGTTGTTTGAATGTTATCGCACGTGACAGCTCAGTTTTTGCGTGAACACGCAGTTACTGAATCGAATTATGACTTGTCAACTCTCGGAACTTCTGGGTTTCGTATGGGGCTATTGTTCTCCACTTTGGCGCCATTATCAAAACGGCCGTTAGGGTTCCTATGTGTTTTCGTGTAACGGATGTGCTTTTTAGTGCGCCCAGTTGTCTGAATGTTATCGCACGTGACAGCTTAGTTTATGCGTGAACACGCAGTTACTGAATCTGGCAATTCTCGGAACTTCTGGGTTTCGTATGGGGCTATTGTTCTCCACTTTGGCGCCATTATCAAAACGGCCGTTAGGGTTCCGATGTGTTTTCGTGTAACGGATGTGCTTTTTAGTGCGCCCAGTTGTTTGAATGTTATCGCACGTGACAGCTTAGTTTGATTAGGTCTTCAAGCGGAAACTGTCATCCGCAGGAGGGCGGTCAGACTGCGTGAGTAGTGGCACGCGTTGTGCCGTGTTGTGTGCATGCGTCAGAAGAAAAATGAAAAAAAAAAAAGTGGATTGCAGTGTTGCATTTGTACTGAGTGCATCTTATGAAGGGCATGATTACGAAGCAAGGAATTCGTGTTTGTGCCCTTCGCCTTTTGCTAAACGAGACATTTCTGTCGTTGGGAGGACTCGCAATTCCGAAACCACGTTGCGTTTTGTGTTAAGTGCTGCTCCATTTGGTTCAGACTGCTTAAAGGAGAAATGCTGCCCCATGTTGCTACGAACAGTAGTTTTTGTGGGTAATTGCTCGAAACCTGTCGTGTCGACGGGAAGATAGCTTACCAGTCTACCTTCCCGTCGACACAATGAATGTTTGAAGTTTCTTTATACCTTAATTCCCCACGGTTTCCTTTACTCGGCAAATATATAGCACATGCTAGACCAACGACCACCCGAAATTACCATGAGTTAAACATGTCTACCTTCGCTCATCGTACGATAGCGTTTAAATATAGTTTTTTTGTTCATTCTATTGAATTGTGGAATTCCTGGCCAGGTTACGTTCGATATTTATCACTGGATGAATATTTATTGTTTATTATTAACCATTGATATAGAGCGCGCTTGTTATGTTCTTCTATGTATGTATTTGCCTATACTCCTGCGATAGCCCTGCGGGGCTGCAGTATGTAGAAGTAAATAAATAAATAAAATCTGCTCCGAAACGACACTCGGAGAATGAGAATGGCGAACTTTTGCCGTTTGCCCGACTTCTCTTAGTCCTAAAGAAACTGAAAAGAATCTGTGTGCTATCATCTCATTGTGCTACTAGTGTGCAGCAGGAGGCGTTGGTGCAGCATTATCGGCCCTGATCTCATTTGTGCGACACGAACTAAGCATACAGCTCATTTGGCTGTATGCTTACCGCTGCTCTACCTCCTTGAGATAGTGTTCCTCAGGACCTCAATGAAGTTCTGTGTCTGTCTGTCTCTTATATACAGCTAAATAACGTGGGCAACTATGTCCATCTAGCGGACAATATATCAGGCAAAAGGAAAATGCAAAAATATTGCGCTGCCATCTATGAAACAATGTCAGAAATGAACATTTTCTAGGCGGCTGGCGGTTTGCTGTTCACTGGCCTAGCCAACCCGGAAGCCAGTGGGTTAAAGAAGGTCGAAATTTTCGGGAGCCCTCCCCTACGGCGTCTCTCATGATTATATGGTGGTTTTGGGACGTTAAACCCCACACATTATTTTTGCATGCTGCTGAGGAAGGCGGTTACTGCTCTAAGGATGGAGTGAAAGTCAACTTGTTGATACGGCTGTGCCCTCCTCAACTTTGTCTGTAATGTACAGTACTCAAAAATTGAAGCGGGACAATTTGGGGCCAAGCTTTGCGAATACTTTCGTTTTCGGTCTTCAGTACGGGTCTTATTGGTGTAATTTCAACTGGAACGCGTGGATCAGAGCTAACATCTCTGGGGATTTGACCTGTTGTGACATGATGGGGTTATCTCGAGCGATTGCGCATATCGATTGTACATGAAGTTTAGTTTATCAAAGTTGATGCTGAGCTTTCTAACTACCCTCTTCATATTGGTATCAGTAGTTTTGATACGCAGAACCCCAGCGTTTTTTCACAATGTGGTAGCAATCTTGGCTTGGTCACTGATATTAAGAAGGTTATTTATGTTGACGGGTTGTACAAGTGTAAAACAGTGTGTTGAAAGTGCCTATGTTTGGACATGTTCGTAATCATTGATAAACTTTCTGTTGCATGTGAAAAGAACCCGTGAAAAGGTGAACTTTCTCGGATAACCTGGGGAGTTGACCTCCCAAGGGACTTGGAACACCTCTCTGCTAAGCACAAGGCTGGAAGCCAGCTTGTCTATATATTACAGGTAGGTAGGTGGTGGCAGCAGTACTCTGCCTCCCATTGCAGCTTGGGACGTGTGACCGTTTGGCCAGGGACTTGACAGGCAAGGTACGTCCAAAGACTTTGCGCATCTCTGAGGGACAACTATTTGTATAATAATTATTTGTTATTCATTCATTCATTCATTGAAAAACCTAAAGGTCTTAAGCATCACATAGGGGTGACAACTATGAATACTGCGTAACTCAATTTCTCAAACAGAGCTAATTGAAGAAATCTGGCACACATCTGCGTGCTTCTTTGCAAATGTCGTCGAAAGATGAGTCTTCTTCTGGCTGTACTACAGGAGTTCTGGTCTCATTCGCGACCACCCGTGATGCTGTTCTCGTACCATTTTCGTCTGGTCATAATCAATGCAATGGAGATTTGTTTGAACAGATTTCATCTTACCGCATTATCACTATTGGCATGCCATGTGTTCATACCTCCACAACATGTCTGCAATGTTTGGGTTGAGTGTGGTACTGTATAGCACGATAGTTTGCAAAGAACCCTTTGTGAGACATGAATGAATGCGCGGAAGGGTCAGTGGCTGTGTGCGTGCACTACTGGTGCACCGAAGTAGGCCACACCATATTGTCGGCAGAGGGCTTTTTTCATGCATAGCATTGCGTTTTCAGCGCTGCCTAAAGAACATTAAGGTCTTCAGAATTGTGTATCTATGTATTTTGTAGTAGGAACACAGGAATTTTTTTTCTTATTCAGGTATATTATGCGTGCTCAGGGTAACGCATACAGGACAGACACAAGGACAAATGACACTTATACCGGGGCCCAATTCAACCAGTTCGAACCAACGCATTGCAAGGCGCAACTTCACACGCCACTCCCAGGCATTACGACCCCTGTGACTACCGGGTGCCGGGTAAGGGGGATGCCTGTACCCATGCTTCTTAAACCGGTGAGTGCCGGCGGTGCGATTCGAAACAGTCACCTTTCATAGCCGAGGAGAACATACAATCCACTAGGCATTGGCTATGGTAACTTAATTCACGAATTGATGTTACTCCTCAAATATTCATACTATAGCGACAATGTTCAAAAGTATAAGTGCAGCCACCAGTTCAAGAGTACCGGGCGTTCACCGAGTGCATAAGCTTTGGCCGGATGGCTGAATCTTGCGACACAGACAGACAGAACGACGAACTAAAAATTCTGGTATCCCAAGGAAGGCTATCATCTTTAACAACTAATAAGATAGTACAGTAATACTCCTATTTCAAAAATACCAAAATGTCTCAAGAAAGTAAATAAATGTGCAATATTAATAATATTGTCACTTGATCGTAAAGAACGACACAGAAGCACTAAGGGGAACAAAAAATTTGTTATAACTGAAAAACCCAGGTATGCAAAAACTAACTTAACGAAAGGACAAAGTATTCCATAACACATCTAGCACATGATGTACAGAAACTAGGAAGTCATATTCACTGTACACAACGGGTGCATAGCCTTGACAAGGCGGCCGCTGCGGTGTCAAGTTGTGTACTCATTCAAAATGACTTCTTTTTGGGGCGAGTTGAGGATTTTGGTTGCTCTTGGATATGTATTTTGCGCCTCAGTCATCTGTACCTAAGCGAGTGTAATCGTCGCATTGCCTGTTGACTGTTGTGTTAACAGTTCTCCGGAGACGGAAACACTGGCGTAACGTGGGTGTCTGAAGAGCTCGTGCGAAGACGATCAGTCGACGCTGAACGCAAACAACTGCTTCTTTATTCAACTTCGCATAAAAGGCATTACAGCCAGCAGGATGCGCCACTTACTGACATAGTAGTAGCGACCTCTACAAATCTCCCATCTTTCACTCGTGCGGCAGTCATAAGTTCAAACGGTTTGGTGGGGCAACTTGTCGGCCACTGCACGTACGTACAAACACCATTGCAACCACCAACACCACCATCACTATCACCCCATCACAACCATCTTAATCACCAGCCTGTCCAGAGTCGCGCGTCGATACTACGATACTTAGAGGACCTTAAGATGGTCGAGCTACTTGCAGCGGTGACTCGGTTTCTTTTGATGAAGCTTGTGGTGGCAGTGATGCTGGAACAAAGGAGGCAAGGTGACACCTGTCACGCTGTTAGATGCCGCTTTTTCCTGTCTCTCTTATGTATCTCCTGGGTCTCTGTGTTGGGCTTAACACTGTTCTCCAAGTTTTCTGGCCGTATCCAGAGTTGGCCTACAGGAAAATTTATTTGTTGTGTGACTTGTTGACGCTGATTGTAGCTCTTTTCCTTTTTTTTTCTTCGGTGGGATGCGTTTTTCAACACTAGTGCACCTTTCAGTGGCACGTTTGGATTGGTGGCGTGTGTGGCGCCACCACTTCGCTTTGATAGCGATCTCTGAGGTGTGAGGCCACTCGGCTAACGCAGCAGCGGTAGATTAAAGGCAACGTAAAAAAGCTAGAAGCATTTTGGCATTCCTGTCCAAAGAATTTAGTAAGGTAGTGAAGCTTAGACCCATGCTTTTGCAGCAGTAAGCTGCTGTCCCATGAAGACATACCGCAGTTGTTTTGACAGATATTTTTTTTTGCTAGTTTTGATGACGTGGAATTTCGGCAACATTTGCGTTTTCTCATTTGCAGCACCTTAGTTGGGAAATCCAACCTTCTCGTGTGTTTGGCCATTCCAAGCCTCTAGAAGACTGCAACGCCGATGGTTTACGCTTGCGAAGTTATTTGACCCCCCCCCCCCCCCCCCCCCACCAGTTTATCGCGATGTGTGTATTTCTTTCTTTCGGTGCGAAAAAGAGGACAGATAGGTCCGCGTGACCCCCCTATCCCCAAAATCCCTGAACTTGGCAGGTATGGTATGAGCACATTTTCTTTTCTGCTATTTTAGAGGGTTGTCTACATGGCCTTGAAAAAAAAAAAAACTCCGTGAGGTCGTCTTATTTTGTCTGTGGATACAGCAGCTCACAAGGTTTTCTGTACCTGAATGAGACTATGAAATAGTAAAAATAGAACAGGCCAGAAAGTTTCAGTCTGAAAGACTTACTTCCACGAAAGTTACATATACAAACAAACAGGCGACCTCATGTTTAAAATCATTTTCTTGCTTGCGGGGATGTCTGCTGCATATCTGAGATTTACATGATTGGGATGTACACATAGGATAATAATATTAGTGTGTTGACATTGTTGAAAATTGTGTAGACCAGTATCATCATTAAGATCAGTTTGTTCGAAGAAAGAGGTCAGACAAAAAGAGGACAGACAGGTCCGCGTGACCCCCCTCTCCCCAAAATTCCTGAACTTGGCAGGTATGGTTCCACAAAGCACTGTTGCTTTGTGGAAGTTCAGGAGTGTAATCTCATTGTCTGCCAGCTCCGCTCATGACTCCGTTATTGGTGGCAGCCAACTTGAAGAATGTACTAGCAACGGGGAGTTCCATACCACCGCCGAGCAAGGTGGCAATCAGCTGCTTGCTATTGTCAACTGAGGTGGCATTGGCTTGAGCCGTATTATCTGCTCCCCCAGCCACAGGTCCATCAGCGGCTAAACTATTTGCAATTTTCGAAAGCTGACCACCCTTTCCGGCATCCGCCAGCATGCCACATAGCGAAAACAGGCTAGTGGAGAACCGTATGTACTCGACATTAAGCTTTTTGTTGTGCAAGGCGCTAACTATAGCACATTAGGTAATATTATTTTTACACATGCGTCAAAGCGCGGCGCGCGCCTACGAGTATATGGCATGCAGATCCACAATGAAGGTCACTGGGCAGATCCACTAATCTCTACTAGGGGGATATCGGCGCCTGGCGTGGCATCGCCGGCATGACGCAATAAGACGAACGACGATGCACACGCACGCCGGCTTGCGTCAAAGTGTATTGGCGCCTTGAGTGTGGCATGTAGCAATGTTCTTACATGACACGCATCTCATGATTATCGTGTTTGCACCAGTTGTATACCTTTGTCATCCATTCACGTCCCGTAATACCAAAGTCGGTATATGCAAAGCTAGCGAAACGTTTGCAAGCACATTAGGAGTGTTGCATGTAGTCATGTTGTTACATGACACGCATGTCATGAGCATAATGTTAGGGTCTGTCGCTTGTGCTCGCCATGCAGTCATGTCATACCATGCCAGTTTTGCAACATATCATGTGAATGAAACCACCGCAAGAGCAGCAAGACCATGACATGTAAATTGGGACATTTATGACATGTCATGATTTTCATGTTATGACTAGTGTTATGTTCGTCGTACAGTCATGTTATTTCATATCAACCCAGCCAAACATGTCACATCCAGTAGACATTAAATGAATATCTTGCCATAAGATATCTAATCTTTAATGGATGCCCACAAAGGCTAATATAATGTTAATGCAATATTCGGAGGATGTCCATTTTGAACTCATTGGACATTCATAGATTGTCCACAGCAGTTCCACATACAACATTGATATGATATCGGCATTATTATTACAATATTTAGAGGATGTCTATTTTGAGAAAACTCGATATCCATAGGTTGTCCACAGCAGTTCTAAAAGTAACATTTATATATCACATATTTTAGGTGCCGAGACCAAACCAGCAGCCAAACAGCTCACCACTACCTCAACCTCATTTATTGTTGCGGCAAACAACCCGTTTGACTTGACGCCATCTGTAATGAATGTAAAGGTCAAAATATGTTAGTCATCATCCCCCCTACACAACTGCTGGAGTGCTGGTGTAACTGCAAGGCACAGCAGCTACCTTTTATCACCTAAGATCACTTGTTGTGGAGCATATGCAAGTATGTTAACAAAATTTCAAGAAGTGTAAAAAGCGGATTTAGATTCTTTATAAGCAGAGCAGTTATTTTTTTATTTGTAAATTGCATTTAAAGCAAATAATTCACCAGTAGGGTTCTAGTACAGTACTACTTTAAATCTTTTTTGAACTACATAACCATTATAACTGGCATAGTATTTAGGTCGTGGAACTTCCATTTTTCTTTGTTTCCTATGCAGCTGTAGTGCTGGGCAATGGTGTCATCCATAATATAGATGAGAAATTTTTTTTTACTGCACCGTCATTGTCTCCTCCGAGGGACTGAAACTCGTGAAGCTCAAAAACAAAAATGTAACAAACTAATGCCACACGTTGTAGAAGTTTAACCCCCGTACATGTTGCAAGTTCATCAAACTTTGGAGCCATTGAAATTTGACCGTGAACAGTTTTGCTGGTTTCCCTAATTTCATGTCTATAGCTTCAAAGCAGAAATATGTTTTGTGTGCTGCAAACCTAACTAATAATGTGCCAGGAAAAATTGTGTGCTTGATAAGACAGTGATATTTTCATAGGCACTAAAAGATGTATCTAGACTTTCTCCGAAAAATTTACTAGCCAAAACAGGTGCACTGAATGGCACCAACACAAAAATGTTAGTTGGGTATTTATTGCTGCAATATGGTCCTGGGGGTCTATTAGTCATAACACAGCACATGTCTTGTTGTAGCACACCACCGGTAATTAAGTAGTCTGTTTATTACCAACCACTGTCAATTTCCTATATATCTCACCTCTCATGAGATTTGCCACCCTGTATACTGCAACCTGCCCATGTTTAGAGAGGTAACCCTGCAAGAGCCGAAAAAAAAAAAGGTAGAGACAAATGCACAAATGTGGGTATAACATAAACACACCAACAGATTCAGCAAGTATCTTTGAACAAATGAAATGAAAAGGTACATGAAGTAAATGAATGCGCAAAAGGTACATTGAAGTTCTAGGGAAAGCTTCAAGAGCAACAAGCCCGTGAATGCAAATAACACTGGCTAGAGTACAAATACAGTGTGGTAAACAATGGAGAAAGTGATCACACAGAACTGTAACATATTTCCGCTTTGTCTGCATTGCATGTGATCGGAATCATAATGACTTTCCTGAAGCTTCCACATTTTCCATACATTTTCTGGCACCAAATAGCAGTCTGTTGGCACAAGCGCAGCAAAAGGGAAGTGGTGACTATAGTGTCACCATTACTACCAGCATCAACTTGGAATTGGCTGCAGTGGTTGAGGGTAACTTTGAGAACAAGCACCTTGGACGATTTTGTAAGGTGCAGTGTACAGCACGAGATACACAAACTTCAAAATTTACATAACTTACTTTCCGAACTCTGATTTCTGTTGAGATATGCTAAATGATATACAATTGTTCACAGGAATCGTTCCTGCGAGCTGGATTACAGTGACAAAGATTTGTCAGTATCCCTCTAAGTACCTATATAGTGCATGTGAGCAGTTAGCAGTCAACAAATTTGATATGCAATTTCATTACACAAGAGGTGTACAACTGTCTATGCTTTAAAGGTGTTGTGAAACAATTTACGGAACTTTTCAGCTACGCCTGTATTCCGAATCCTGGCAGTCTATTTTAAAGTAAATATTGATTTGTTTCATTGAGTGGGTTCATTTAATACCTACAAAAAGTGCAATTTCGATTCCCCAGCTCACGTTCCCGTCAATTATACAGCTGATGCCACTTTAAGACAGCCAATGAAAAGTCTAGTTGACCAAACATGGTGATGACAGCAATGTGTGCTGAGCCATATTGAACGAAGTTCCTAGCTTCATACCGTTTCAAAAACAGCGCTGTACAGAGGCCACGATAACGTCCCGTTTGATAAGTTGTGCTACACTGCCTGACGACGCACACGGTTGACGTAGCTTTATGGCCTGGTAATTCTACTTTTGTAATGAAGTGCCAGTTTTTGCAATATAGCAAACTAGTTCTCAAGTAATGGTTTAATCAAATAATCTAATATCTAATTAACTGTTCTGATCAAGTTATATTTCATTTATATGTGCACAATGCAGCCTTACCAGTTGCTTCCTAATTGCTGGACTGTTATTATCGAACCCCAGGAATTCTTCAAGGCTGCTGAATGCCCTTGTAATCAGAGCAGGTGTCACTGCCTCAAGATGCTGCTGGGCTGGCTGGCTGTGATCTAATCGATCGTGCACCTGCTCAATTAACATCCCCCATCACCTGAAGTTGTCTGAGCACTTGTTTCTGGAACTCTAGCAGTGGATACGAAAGATAAGATGCAAAGCTTTCATGCAATGTGGAATTTACAAGTACAGCACACAGAGCAAGGCCAATGGTATACCTGCTTACGGCATAGGTACATGCACTGGCGGGCGTGCTGCAGAAATAGCGAACATGTACAGAGCAATGATATGTAAAAAGCTTGGTCAACAAAAGCTAGGGAAGGGGCATACCTGCTTGCACAATGGGCTCAGCTGCTGGTGGGCATGCTGCAGAAATACGAACATGTATAATATGTAAAAAGCTTGGTTAACAAAAATAATGAGATGAGCATACCTGTTTGTACAATGGCCTCAGCTGCTGGTAATTGTGCTACAGAAATACAAACACATACAGAGCTATGCTATGTAAAACATTTGGACTACAAAAGGTTTAAAAGAAGCATATTTGCATGGGTGTGCTGTATAAATACAAAGCAATGCTATATAACAAACTTCCACTACAAGAGCACAGAGAGGAGCATACCTGATTGCTGAACCTCGTGCAGTGACAGTTGTGCTGCAGAAATACAAATACATTAAGAGGTATTTAGAGAACAATGAAGACAGCTTCTGGCGGAATTTTTAGTGCGTGCATTGCAGATTGATATCACAAAGTAAATGTTTTAGTGTCAGCAAAGCTCTGGCTGGAATTTTTTGTGCCACTAGCTATTGGTAGGCCCTAGCTTCCCAATATAGACCATACAGACTTGGAACATATGAGGCCCGAAAGGCTCGTGGCTCGCGGAAACACTGCGCCTTCATGCCCTGCCTCTTTCACCCTTTTTCTGGGCTTGAGTATATACGTCTTCCTCCTCATCCAAATACCGCTTAGGTTTTGCAACCAGGCACCTGGAATTTTCCTCATCACTAGAGGAAGGCACCTCTGACGTCAATTCTGTGTCAGCCAGGCGTTCAACAGCAGCTTCGAATGTTGCTAAAAAGGGAAAAAAAAAGAGCACACCTTTGATAAACTATGTTTGCAGGTAACTGCAGACCCTATAGCCATAGATACTGTATTTTGGCCAATAAAAAAATGATACAGACATAATGATAAAGACATTAAGTGCTATGCCTAAAATGGTTAGCAGACTCGTACATGAATGCACATGCTAAAGGAATAGAAACTATGCTGATAATTTGATGCGGACACGTATTTCTATGTATGAATATAGCTTGCTTCATACATTGTGTTCACAATGCAAAATTATGCACCAATGAGTAGTCTCTTTTACAACGCCATTTAACCCATTAGTGGGAAATTTCAACCTATGAAGAACCTTGGGAGCTTAGCGGTGAGTCAAATGGTAACTTTCATAATTAATGCAAAAATGGCATAACGGAAGCAAATAAGAGAGTCATGTACATGTCTTTCGTGCTGTTACAGAATCAATTATGGTTAACTAACAAGCCAAAGTTACCCTTCTATATTTTTAGCTGCTGCAACTGCTAGCATATTTATGTTCAAGTGCAATGCAAAACGAGACGACAATAACAGCACCTGAAATTTTTTTTAAGCCTTCAGCTTTGACTGCGGCGCTCCTTGCAACTTGTATAGCGAGTAACATGATAACATAGAGCATTAGAGTGTCATGTTCTTGATTGCATGGCTGACATCTACAGATGACAGGTGAATTAGATAAGCCACATTTGAGCATGGGTGCCAATCGGCAAAGAGCCTTCCTCGAGAGGCGGATGCAACTTTTTAGGTTGTCAGAAGCATTGTCTACGATGTAGCATCGCATAAAAAAAGACGAAATCCAAAAAGCTCGGCGAATCGTCCTGCTTAGTACCCAGTGAAAGCTACGTGACAACATTATCCTTCCTTAGCGATGTCAACATTCAGACAATGCGTTGCAGACATGCTGCACATAATGTTCTCTGTTCTGTGCTACATATCAACGACGGCGCTTCTGCCACCCAAAACACTTGTGTATGTAGCTGCATATCCCCAATTAATGCAGCCACAGCAGCAAAGACAGAAAGAAAATGCAAGGCAAGCGCGTCATAGGGGTTGCACACATGCGTTTTGATGTCTGTCCGATCCTAAACCACTTGTCATCTGTATTTATCGCCCACACAGCCTCGAGTGCGGCGCTCCGTCGTTGTAGACTAGTGAGAGCTGAACTCTGTACGTGAGTGAAACATTAGAGATTGCATTTAGAAAAAAAGTTACACCACAGCTTGAAAATCTTCACACACACACGCGTGTGAGTAAAAACTTGCAGAAAAGGCCTTTAAGTTTGGCCGCGTGCCTGGGCCAAGTTGCCTAGGGCATGGTCATAGCTTTTGCTAGCTGCACAACTTTCTCTGTTCTGTCGCCAGACCAACAGCATCTACCGTCGTCAAACCACGACGCCGGTGCAACTTCGGCTTCGTTTTAGCCGAAGAAAATCAATGATGACAAACGGCATCTAAAAAGAAACACATAGTCGATAAATAATATCACAACTGACTGATGCAATGAGCGACTAATTAGTACAATCATTCTAGCTGCGTGGAGGTTGAGCCTGAACTTCCCACCAACACAACCTAGTTAACGTGCATCAAGGAGAACCGGTCGGCGATACAACAGCCAGAACGATTTTGGACGATTGATCCCCATGATGGCCCTATGCATATTCTTTCTTCTTTTTCTTCTACTTTCTTCACCAGAGTTATTCGGGGTACGAATATTCCGGTGGACTTCGTCTGAAGAGAAGCATTCGCGTAGATAAGCATTCAGTTCCACAGCAACATTCTCACCTCTTTAAAAGCGTTTCGCTGTCTCCCAAAGACGACACACCTGGTAGGACTTCGGTGGAGGTTTGAACGTAAGTTTCCTGATTTCCTCACAGGTCTCCGTCCTCTTGTTCGCAGGACTGGCATCTCTCACGTCCACGTTGCTAGACTGCTCGTCTTGATACCCATTGCTTCTACCTGCTGAGTCCCGGTTTTGGTTCCTCTGAAGATCTTCCACAAGTTTCCGGTAGTTCGCATCTTTGCGGTGAGACTTGATTGCATCGAACGTTCGGAATGGAAACTTTTGGTGTAGTCGTTAATTAAGGTTATATACCTTTTCTTGCCGCAGCTGTACTTCATACACAGCCATCAAATATTCCTCCTCACTATGCCATCTTGGTTTCACTCGCTGTACATCAATATCAGCGTTGTACTCTTCCACATGAGCACGCCTTCTGTGCTGGCTTAGCCCAATCAGAGTGCCTAATTCTCTGTTACATTCGGAGCACACATGGTGAGTTGGCATCGCTTGAGAAGAAGACCCACTTGACTGTGCGCTAGCACTGCTTCTTCTAACTGAGGTGTTATAAGAACGACCTCTAACTGCGTTAGATGCTTTCTGGGGATTATCCCTATGATCGCCCTGTACAAAGCGCGAGACAATAAGCTAATCATGATCAAATAAACGATGGACAAAATTGGGAGAAGCTTTGTAGGAATGCGCTGCACATGTCTAGGATGAATCACGAACATATGACAACCACTGCACAATACTGTGCGCCTGATGCTGCATTTAGTCTTTTCCAGGTGACAGATAATTGCAAAAGAGAAAAAAAAAAAATCAAGTACCAACCTTTCTCGGCTTAGATGTCAACGTGCTCTAATATCAAGAGTCTCACCAGAGCGCACCCTCGCACTTTGCATGAGAACACAACGCAATCATGGCCGAAGAAGCTGAAGCTTGTCTCGGCTGCGTTCAGCCGGCATCGAGCCAATGGTGGCATGTGTCAGATCTCAGATGTTTATGTTTACCAAGTGATGTTTCACGTTTTCAACAGCACCCTCACAGTGAGCTGTAAATACAAAAAAAAAACAGTCACATTTTGGAAAGTTACAGTTATCATAAAATGCACTGTGTGGCAATTTGGCTAGAGTTGGCAACAGGTCGAGGATGCAATCAAACAACATGGCCAACGTACGCGTGAGGTCTCGCGAGGTTGCAAATTGTGAGCATTGTTGCGAGTCTGTTTCAAACAACGCAGGGTCGTGGGTCGTTGTTTGAAATACTGCTCGACATTTGCTGTGGTTGTGTACTGAGCCCCGAATGAGCCACCGCATCCTGTGAGTGAATCTACGTGCGGTCAGCTCTGTGTAGCAAGATGGTTTTGTGTTTTGATGATTTTCCACTTGAGACATCGATGACCCGGTATAGGCTGCGTCAACCTGTGTGAACTGCTGCCACGTTTCACATCCCAAGTGACTTGTCGCAACGATCAAGTTTATGGCATACCATTCTGGATTTCCTCTATGTATCGGTCATGCCGAAGGTGAAAGAGAAACAGTCGCTCGTGAAGAAGGCGTGGTATCGAGCAGAACGCGTTTTGCATGCATTGCGGGATCCCCAGGTTCCACGAATTGAACCCTCTATATCCGAGAGCCCGATTGATGAATCGAGTGAGCGTCTATGCACTGAGGCAGGAAATCTTGTTTCACATACAAGCTTGCAGCCTGATGACTGGGACTGCGACCATTCTGATGATTTTGCAGGGCCCAGCAGAAACATACAGACCAGAGTGGCTAGCAGTACTGGTGAAACCGAGGTGAAAAATTCTGTCATCAGAAGTCTTCAGAGCTGGGCAGTGTCACAACGCATCACGCAGACAGCTGTTACTTCATTACTTAAAATATTGAAGAATCATCATTGCTTCAGTGAACTTCCAAGTGATGCCCGCACCTTGTTTAAAACGCCTAGACTACCCAGTGCTGCGGTAGTTGACATGGGTTTGGGGAGGTACTGCCATTTTGGCTTATTCCAAGGTTGATTCCAAGGTTATTCCACGTTACTATATATGGTTACGCCCATCTTTCTACATAAAAGGCTCTCTCCCTGGCTTTTTGATGCTTGTACATATGTTAGTGAAATAATGTTCACACATATTTTATGAATATCCACTTTTTAATATTTAAGTAGAGATGTTTACCCAATATCCACTCAATATCCACAAGTAACATAGGATATTGAGATAATTTTGGATATCCTATAAATATTGATGGTTTACTGGGAAGTTTGGTATTGATACGATTATCCAAATGGCCAGGAGAGCTGAAGGTTGTAGGCGGCTAGATAGACAGACAGACAGACTCAATGTCGCCGAAGTTTGCCAAGAAATGCTTCGCATTTAAAATGGCTCACTGATGCTTCACAGTTTTGGGGATGACCACTGCCTATAAAAAAGAAAAAAAAAAATAGTGCATTGGGTGTGACTTTGCACACATGCTGTACACAATGTTCTCTGTTCTGTGCTACATATCAACGACGGTGCTTTCGCCACCCAAAACACTTGTGTCTGTAGCTGCAGATCCCAAATTAATGCAGCCACAGCGGCAAAGACAAAGAAAATGCAAGGCAAGCGCGTCTTAGGGGTTGCACACATGCTTTTTGATGTTGTTGCGACTCCGTGTCCCGCAAGTCTCAGTTTGGTAGCGGGCCCCCGTCCTAGAACACATCGTCTAACCCCAACCGTCACGAGCGCGTAATACGATAGGCGCAACGTTTGCTTGAACAAGTCAGATGAGGCACTCGTAAAAACGACAATTTATTTACATGATTAGTAACTGAGAGTTAGAAAAGAGGTGATCAAGTGATCAGAACTGTACATGGAAACTGTTGAACTGTAGAACCTGTAAAATACACAAGAGTCTTCCGTTTATATAGCGCCGCGTTGCCAACGCTGGGCGCACTGTTCGCGGCTTTAGCCAATACAGCGC